GCCCCCCCCTTTTTTTTTTTTGGCCAGTCATGGGGCTTTAATCTAGGGCTTCATTGCTGTCCCTGAACCTTGGAGCCACAGTGCCACTTCCCATTTTCTGGTGGTAAATTGGAACTAAGTCTTTCCTGCCTGGGCTGGCTTTGAACCACGATCATCATATCTCAACCTCCTGAGTAGCTAGGATTACAGGTGTGAAAACCCAGCACCTACCTTACTTGACTTTTAAAGATGGACAGAAAATACAGTATTTGTTTGCATATATGTGACTTGAGATGCTACATGGCATGTTGAGATAAGCTTCTGTGTGCCAAGAAACCAGCAGAGACTGCAAGTACAATAGGTTCACTTATTCAGTCTGGGATCTGTGTGCTTGACACCAGTGTTTGATGAGGAGCAAACATATAGAATCTTCTCTAATGGAACTCAGCATCTAGATGGGCTATAGACATTAATCAGAAAACCACACCAGGACATTACAAACTGAGGTAAATGCTGTCCAGGAAAGGAACTTGATTCTGTGAAAACTTCTGACAAAGAAACTTCATGTAGAACAGGACTTCAGGGGGAGTGGCTCTGAAAAAGTGATACTTAATTTGAGATCTGAAGGCAGAACAGGCTTTAATTTAAGCACTGTGTGTGCATGTGTGCACACATGTGTGTCTGCGGCCAGATTTTTTTTCTTACTATAGTATGAAGAAGCAGTGTATGTCTTTGGTAGGAGAATCCTGATTCTGGTGTGACTGGATGGAGGGCTTCTGAATGTAGATAGAGTAGCAGAGTGTACCAGAGAAGAACAAAAGACCACATGAGATAAAATGCTGTCAAAGTACTTAGAGTCCTTGGGAAGTTGAGTATATTATGAATTCAGACTGTGGTGGTTGGGCTATTCTCCTCAGCCTTTTTTTTTCTTTTTTTTTTTGGGGGGGGGTTCCGGTCGTGGGGCCTGAACTCTGGGCCTGGGCTGTCCCTCAGCTCTTCAGCTCAAGGCTAGCACTCTACCACTTGAGCCACAGCGCCACTTCCGGCTTCTGTGGTTGCTGAGGAATTGAACCCAGGGCCTCATGTATACAAGGCAAGCGCTCTACTACTGAGCCACCTTCCCAGCCCCTCCTCAGCCTTTGCTAGGGTTGCAAACCACTTTTTTTATAATAATTTTTTATTGAGATTAAATAATTATGTAAATTTCACAGTATTGTTGGATAGTGATACTTAGTTAAATTTACAAACACATTTTTAACCTTCACAAGGTAAATTGTCATTATCTTGGTCTATAAAGCTTGCGAATTCTACGAGCTTTGACAGTACAACTGTTTCTTCCATGTTAAACCAGCACTTTTTAATGTCCACTGTGTGTATTTTAGGGGTCCTGAGGTGGGAACAAACTCTTTAGACTGTGCTATGTGTATAGAAACAGCTGGTTGGTAAATTGGAAGTGTGTCAAAAGTACAGGAGTAGTTTTTGGTAGCCAGGCGTGTTGGGTTGACTGCATCTCTGACACATACAGAGTAACCTCAAAGCCACTTGGTGATGAAGCAGATTTCAAGCCTCGGGTTGGTTTCATTGAGGAATGCTGTTTAGTGGAGCCTGTAGCAGAGCTAGATTCACACTGTAGACCATTTCAATTTGTATTGATTACAGCCAGCCTTTCAGGCTGGCAGAGATTATTAGGTAGATACTTTAGTCTTCTGTAGAAAAACTAGATTTTTTTTTTCTTTAGCAAAGCAAGTGAACAGGGCTAGCCTTGAGAACAAAGAGGTTCAGAGACAGCACCCAGGCCCTGAGTTCAAGCCCCACAACGGTGTGTGTGTGTGTGTGTGTGTGTGTGTGTGTATGTGTGTGTGTGTGTAGGCGGTCTTTTAAATAGCTAATATGATGCATCTCAGTTTGGTTATTTGTGCCAAAAAGGAAGGAGTCTTGGATTCTATTTGTGCTCTCACCCAGATTGGACAAGTTATTATAATCTGTCTAAATTATTCTGCAGGGAAGAGGATATCCAACAATTCAACAGCTCTGTAATACCTTGCAAGTTTGGTCTGATGAATATGTATAAAGGTATTTGACTGTTTCGTGAAATTTATCTAGAAAGTGAAAATTCAAATACTGAAGATGCTGAAAGCAAACATTTAAAAGTTGAGCCTTGAACTTTCTCGTTTGGGCTGACACTGAATGAGCTTAGTACTTTGAATTTGTATTCTATAGGAATACTTAAAATTCATATCGTCTTTTTTTTGGGTGGGGGTCAGTTGTGGGGCTTGAACTCTGGGCTTGGGCACTGTCCCTGAGCTTTTCAGCTCAAGATGAGGGCTCTTCTTCCGGTTTTCTGGTGGTTAATTGGAGATAATAGTCTCATGGACTTTCCTGCTCAGGCTGTCTTGGAACCATGATCCTCAGATCTCAGCCTCCTGAATAGCTGGGATTACAGGCATGAGCCATTGGCCTGGCTTCATACTGACTTTTATTTAAGAAGACAAAGTGGTCTTGTCTGTTAATTACCACTAGGGAATATATTGCATAAATTTAATTCAATTTAATTTTAATAAAATTTAGCAAGTTGACATATTTTAACAGACTTTGGTGGTAGGAAAGAAACTAACTTGAAGTGATCAGTTGGTACTTCTTTTTAGATATAAATATATAAAATTAAATTAATGAGGGAGACTGGACTCTAGTCGGTGAGGTTTATTTAAAGCCACATGGTAAGGAGTGAACATTTATTTTACTTATTAGATGACTTTCAATTAAGTGTTTTGTGGAAGAGGGTTTGAGAGGTTTTTAAGCAAGCGATAAGCAGAGAATTCTTAAATTGTAAGGAAACTGACACCACAACAAGGTTGCCTGTGCATTTTTGAAACATTTTTGAAACAAATCTATGTCTTGTGTGTGGTTGGTGGTTTCAATCTGCGTTTGTTAGCCGTCAGTGTTGGTTGACACCGATGTGCCCGGCATGAGCAGAGGCAGCTGTGGGCTGTGCGAACTGCTGATCACCCACGGGGATGCGGTGCTCTTTCATATCTTGCTTGCAGATGCGTTTTCTAGCTGACCACGCTATTAAGAGCTGCTATCAATCACGCAGCTTCCCAGATCCGGTCAGGGAGGGAGGGAGGCAGGGAGGGAGGCACGGGGTCCACCGGAGGCTGGCCAGGCAGGGGGGACAGGGGGGCGGGGGAGGAGGAGCGCACGCGCGTGCGCATGCAGGCTTGGCGTCTGAGCGCGCACCCGCGCCCACGGCAGCGGGCCGGATTCCAGTCCGGGTTTTGCGGGCCGCCGCCGCCGCCGCCGTCGCGGGAGGCTGCTCTTTCTCTCCCGCGTCTGGGTCTCAGGCATGTGGCGGTGCTGGCCGGCCGCGGGCGGCGGGAGCGGAGCTGAGCGGCGGAGCTGAGCACCG